GTGCTCCTGGCCCCGCTTTCCCTCAGCCAAAGGCAGGAGCAGTGCCCAGCCCAGCCAGCTCCTCACCCTGCGGTCCCTGCAGGGGCTCTCTGGCTTTGCACACCCACCTCACCCTGTAAATCATGACAGGCTAAAAATGGCCGGGTGACGACTGTGGGGGTGAAACCGTGAGCAGGGCACTCGCTGTGGGATCACCGGAGCCGGGAGCAGGGCAGCACACAGGCTGCACTCACACACCACAGAGGCACAAGGTGGGACAGGAGCAAGGGCACGGACAGAAAACTCTTCCTTGGGCAGGAAACAACGCCCAGAGCAGCCAGCTGCCATCTCTGTGTGCCATTAGCTTCACTTTTTTTTTTTTTAAGGCCCGGCAGCTTCCGGTTACCATGGAGTGAGGCAGCGCAAACACCATTCCCAGCTGGCATGAAATGTGATCCCGTGATTTCACTATTCATAGCTCTGACATGATAAAGCTAAATTAAGCAGGAACTCTTCACTTCTCCAAGCTCCCAGCAGTGACTCCCTCAATGCTCAGGCTCTCCTAACACAGTTTCTGTGTCAGGAGGGGATGTTTCCTTTAGGGCAGCAGACTCCAGACCCACACACCCAGCCTGGCACCCAGAAACAAAATGGCATCGGCTCCTTCCCAGGCATGATCTGTCCTGGCACCAGCAGGAACAAAGACCTGATGAGCTGTTAGGGGCAAATTTAACTTCCTCATCCTGGGACTTACTAGAGAATCCCACAGAGCAGTTTAAGCTTTGTTACCAGCCTGTCCAGCACGGGCACCACCGTGTCCATGAACAGCTCAGGGGGCACTGGCACAGCCCCAATGCCACCAGCAGCTGTCACACAGCCTGGCACCATCAGTTTCTGTAACTGCCACCATCCCTCCTTTCTATTCCACGGCCTGAACGATGTGGCTAAATATCCTGCAATTCCTGCCTCACCAAAGAACTCCCTGTACCGCCACAATTCTGAGGAAACCACACGACCCAAACCCCACATCCCTGCCCTGGCACGTGCAGCCACTCAACACAGCTCAGGATCCTGTAAACTTTTCCAGAAATGGAGAAAAAGTTCAAGGGCTCCGTGGCTGCTCAAACAATTAAGGAGTTCCAACACGACAAACTGTCCTTCCACAAAGACAAAGCCAAGTGAGCTGAAAAATACTCAAACTTCTGCAAAACCACTCTATTCCTCCAGGGATACAAGCAGGGAACATCATGGCCTTACAATGAAAAGCATCCTCAGGCTTATCCAGCCCAGCTCAGCACTCCCTGGGCCTCCCAAAGCAACATTTTTTTTGACAACAGAGAAAGTGGCAACAGGTAAACTAAATTTAGATCTGCTGATGTGAGTGGATTGTCACTTACTCTGTGCTGGTGGTTTATAACCGTAACATTTTTGTTTTCTAATAGCAACACCAATGTCAGAAAGTGTTCACCACCTTTCCTGCATCTCACTGTGAGCCCACATGCCTGGCCTGACCCAAATGATCATTTTCTTTAATACTTTACACACTTCTGATTTAAATCAGCTGGAGAAAGCAGCAGACAGCTAAATTATATTATCATAACCCCATCAGCAGAATATCCTTTTTTTGTGTGTATTTTTTTTACAATACACATGACAAAGCTTTACTTCCATGAAAAAGAACTGGAAGTGAAGGTCAGGGCACATGGCTGGCCCAAACCCCAGTGGCCAGGGAAGCCTCTCCCCAGACAGCATTGCTGAGGCACTGACTGCAGAATTGTCTTCCAGAGACACAACTCACAGAGAGGCAGGGAATTAGGAAGGATGGAAAACAGCAGGAAGCCAGCAGGGTATAACTCAGCAGAGACACGGGCAGACAAAGAACAGGGGCAGGGATCCATGGCTGCTCCACCTGCTGCTGCCAACAAGGCTGGGTGAACACGTGGCTGCAGCCAGAGCTCCACTGTCATCCCTTTATAGATTCATTTAGGTTGGAAAAGACCTCCAAGATCATCAAGTCCAGCCTGTGACTGATCTCCACCTTGTCACCCACTGAGTGTCACATCCAGGTGTTCCCTGAACACTTCCAGGGATGGGGACTCCAAACCTCCCTGGGCAGCCCCTCCCTCCCAATGTCTGAGCACCCTTTGCAATAACCTGATAGGTAAAAGGTTTTCTCTTTGGATCTCTGGACAAAAAGGATGTGAAAATGAGATAAGGGGTAACCCTGCACCTTCCTCATCCCACAGACAGGACCCCAGAACTCTGCAAGTCCCTGTGACCAGACTGCAGCATTTCCAAATCACACTCACGAGGAGCAGACACCAAGGCCCATCCACCAGAGCCCTGCCTCAGGAGCAGCATTCCCAGCCTTCAGCTGCCTAAAGACATTGGAGGAAAGGGTTCAAATCAAGTTCTTACTTGCCCTCCCTGTTCCTGCAAAGTTCTCAGCAAAGGGAGGATGAACTGAGAAAAAAATCACAGGGCCCTAGACCCTCCAGAGGATCCTATGACACAAAAATGTACATTTGCAAAAGCTCTCTACACTAACTGTGCTGCTCTGTCCTTTCATCTGCTGTGAGATTGTGCAACCCATCGGAAAGGTCACAAAGCCAGGCATTTCATCACTCCCTGCTGGGCACCTGTGAAATTCCAGAGCAGGACACAGAACAACCACAGAAACTCCAGGAGAAGACACTGCTGTGTCCCAGCACTTGCTTTCTGTGCCTACACTGACTCTTTTTTGGGAGGCAAAGCTCTGAAACATCTTTGGAGTGAGTGGAGCCAAGGCTCCAAGGCTGTGACACCCAATCCCGGGGAGCAGCTCTCCCAGCCCAGCACCCACCAAGGGCACAGCAAAGCCCCCCCGAAATGTCCCACACCATCAGCACTGACACAGCATCTGCCCTCATTCCCCGTGAGAGGGAATTCCCAGGAGTCCTTCCAGAGAGGAGCTGGATGATTTAATTATACTCTCAGGAAAAGCAGCCTGAAAATGTCCATTTGCTGATGTGACCCTGCTGCTGCAGCACTAAAGGCTCTTCTCTTCCAGCACCAGCTACAAGACAACCCAGACATCTTCCAAATGGTTTTACATTGTTCATTTCACAGCACCTGGCACATCACTGTACACACAAAAATCAAGGAGTCCCCCACCTCTGACAGGTTCTGAGAGGATGGTGTTGCATACACCACACACACAAGTTCATCTGCTCCTGCCAAGGCAGGGCACAGGGAATGGCTGCACACTGAAAGTGGGTTTGGAGTGAAGATTAGGGAGGGTGGTGAGGCCCTGGCACAGGTCACCCAGGATCCCTGGAAGTGTCCAGGCTGGGATAGGGGAAGGTGTCCCTGCACATGGCAGGGGGTGGGATGGGATGAGCTTTATGGTTCATTCCCACCCAAACCATGCCATGATTTGGTGATTCCATGGAGCACTGCTTACTCCACACCTACCACGTCACTTTCCACACCCAGAACCCCATCCAGGAGGAAATATACTGACAATCACCTTGGGCATGCTTTGAAATGAATTTTTAGAACCCTCCACCACGCTCATTTCCCCAAAACACCAAGAACTAGCAGAAAAACCCTTTATCAGTACACGGAAATGAAGACCAAGGCTTCACACGTGTGTCTGAGCCACTGCAACGCCTCTTCTGCCACATCGCCTGAAGTTCAGCCAAACTTCCCGAGCAAGCAGGACGCAAAGCAGGCAGCGAGAGAGCACCGATCCTGATCCCTCCCGGCGCACCGGGA